TTTTTTTTCGATGGCGAAAATGTCATATCAGTCACTGATTACTTTTTTAATCTTCATTTCACGTTCTTCGGTTTTATTCAGATCAAAAATACGGCATCGCCTGTTTACGTCCCGGTGTTCAATGATGAGGGTAAACTGATGAACCCGGGGACTGGGTACATGTTCCAGATCTTCGATCGGGTTTATGTGAGTGCTTATAAAGCTGTCTCAGTGAGAATGTCACTGCTGCAGCGGCTCGAAGCGTCATTCCGCCTTTTGCCGCCGCACTCGCAGACTTATTTTCTGAGCTTTTCCCGCTGTGCAACGACAAAAGTTGGGAAAATGGTCAGAGGACGGCAAAAAATCCGAGCAAGACAGCGCAAGAACCAAGCCGCTGAGATCATGACATTCTCATTGAGATACAGCTTATACAATAATTTTTCTTATTTTGCAGTTTTGTTTAGGTGCGTAACCCCCACTTTCAATTTGACTGCAGATCATCGAAACAGCGTCCACATATCGCTCGGTATTATCGAGGCATTATCGTTGATATAGACGAAGATTTGGTCGACTCTATGTACAAGGTGAGCTGTCTAATTTTTGGGTCAAGACTTTATCCTTAATGATGTAGATACTGTACTGGGAAGATGACCCTCATGATATTGATGCTATGAGCTCTTCCCAGTGGCCAGCTGCTGATGACAGTGAGTGCTTGAAAACTTGACTTTCATCTTCTTTTATCTTTGCGAAATTTCTTTTAGCTTATGACTGTACTTCCTCGTGGTTTGGCCCATGGGATGTCACTGCATCAACAACACATCTTGCGAAATTACGCACTGTACCAGGTAAGCTTTCAGCGGATACTGCTGGGCTTATAAGGTATCATCTGTTTCAGTGGAGTACTCCTCCGAAACTATTGCATGCAAGCGGCGAACAATTGATGCCCGATGTCGATGTGATAGTCCTGGATGCGTAGGCTTCGCAAATTCACGATGCCCGAAGAATTTTTCTGCAGATTGTTGCATAAAGGTTGTTATGAAGTCTAGTGTCATCCGCATCTT